GCTGCGGTGCCCTGCGCCCTGCCCTGCGCCGTGCACGGGCGCGGAGCGCGAAAGCCTGCGGGAGCCCTGCGGCGGCGCCGGGACCGGGAGATGCAGAGAAGTAGTCGCGGGGATTACCCCCGGGGTGTGTGCGCTGTTTGTAGTTACTGTGGGTCGGCGGTGAAGTCCATCGCCCGCTCCCCCGCGTGGCGCTTTCGGGCAGTAATACTTGGTGACTGATTCTCACTTAAAGAGGGTGAGTCTAACTCCAGGGCACTAGTTCTTTGCTAGTGGTTTGTACAAGCTGGGAGCAGAGCTGAGCTTTTGCACTGTGGGGCAGTAACCAGGAGCGGCTGGGCAACACCCTTTCCGCCAGGACAGTTGGTTTCATCGCTAAATAAATATTGGACGAACACTTAATACGCGTTTACAGGGGTGCCAAATTATTGTGCTGTTTGCGGAGACATTTGTCACCAGGCCCTGGCAGGGGGCGTCATCAGCAGTTGCATGTGTTGCTCTTGGGCATTATCCCATTTGGAGTTAACTCTAAACTTAAAAGAGTTTTTTGTAGCAACACAAGTTCAGGAAAAATGATATAATTATTTTGATAACTAGTAGAATAGGATAGCAAGATTAATAATGAGTGAGTCCTTCAAGATTGCAGAATCATTACGTGGAACAACTGTAGCAGTGTCCAAATTTAGGCTTGTTGCTTGTACGTATTTCTTGTTATACAATCCTATATGCCAGTACAAATGTATCTCCTAATAAAGTTACAGTTACCATCTAGCTTCGTGATATTTACAAAGGATTTATCTGGAACTTCCTGAAAGTCTAAATTCTTAGGTATGACAGTGTCCTCCATAAAATACAAGAACAGCAATAAAAAGCATGTAACTCCAAGTTCCTGTTTCTTTTGGGGACATTTCCCACACAGAAACAAACGCTGTGTGGGAGCAAATGGGAACTTTGTGAGAAGGGGAAAAGAATATTAAGACGGGGCTGGCTACTACTTGAGTTGTAGACTAGGCTTATAGTTACTGGCCCTGGGGATGATTTGAATTACCAGGAAAGCTTAATTACATGCCATAGACTTCGTATGTTACTTTGTAAAACTTGAAATTCCTACTAATTGAAATTTCTTTTTTTTGTTGTTGTATTTGTTACTGGGACTCGAACTCAGGACCTCACGCTTGCCAGGCAGGCGCTGAGCTATAACCCGGCCCCTTGAAATTTCGTATGGGGCAATTTGTGAGTTGAATGAAGAAATATTTTGATCTAAGGGTAAAAAATGTCAGAGAAAACTATGTTTAAAAAACGTTACTTTTTTAAAAAGTTGAAGTAATGTTTCTAAAATAGTATTACATATCAGAGTCCTACATAAGTAAGTTTATTTATCATTTACAAGTATCTAAACTTACTACTTTTCTACTTAGATTAGTATTTTCAAGAATATGATGTGTATTTCCATGTAATCAGTGTAAAAACACTTATCTTTTCAAAGTTGACAGGATATATTTGTAGGCTATAAAAAGTAGGATTCATATTTAACATTCACCATGTTATTTCTGGCATCAGCAACCTGTAATAAAGTAGATGTCAATTTTACAGTCTTAACTGCTGTTACTTATGAAGTACCCATGAGCAAACTTTCTGTAAAGTGCTTCTGGTTTCTGTCATAACTACTCAAGTCTGCACTACTAGGGCAAAGTACTGGATAGCTAAAGCAGTTCGGAAGGAAGTGAGTGTGGTTTTGTTTCAGTAAACTTCATTTATGGACATTGAAATTGGAATTTCATATCATTTTCATGTGTCATAAAATGTTATTTAAAATATTTTCAATTTAAGATACATAACCATGCTAGGCTTGCAGGCCATGTAAAAATGAGTGACATTTATGGTTTGCTTACCTCTGATCTAAGAAAGTGTTTTCTCCTGTACTGATTAAAAGTCGTTGCTGTTTTAATTTTGCAGTCATAAATTTTCTCTTTGTATAGGAAAGTTTTAGAACAAAGGAAGTATTGTACTGGTCTTTTTTACTTTCTTTTACGTGAACATTGCTTTTCGGCTTTTCAGAGGGTTTGAAAAGAAGGTGTAGGCAGTTATGAGCTCTGTTTCTCCTGTTTGACCATATTACTTTTTAATTAAGACTTGATGTAACATTTAAAAATAATATTTTTAAGCATGGTTTTGACATGCTCTGACATTTTTAACCCTTGGATCGAAATATTACATGAAGTCTTAAAAATATGCCTACTGTTTACAAATTATGCTTTAATTCAGTCAGGGAGACTATATACTTAACCTGTTTCTTTGTTCAGTTCCTGTGTTGCTGTATTTAAAGTGAAATGAAATGAAGCACTCATTTTATTTCCCTATGATAGTCATCTTTGAATTGCAGTTAGGCTCCCAGAGCAGTGAACAAAAGGATATTTAGCACATCAGGTAGTTTTAGTAGCCGCGGAATCAATCCATCTCTGATTCTTAACCTACATTTGCCAGAGTATGCCCCAGTGAGTGGCCAAATCTGAGTATTTATTTTTCTATGACCTATGAACTAAACATACTTTTTTCTTTTAATTAAAACACATTTAAAAAATTTTGAGACAGGGTCCAGCTAAGTTGCTCAGGTTGAGTTCGAACTTATAATCCTTTTGACTCAGGCGCCTAGCATGCTTGAGTAAGTGTGTGCCACCATGCCTAACCCTACGAATTTTTTTTATTTTTAAACAGATGAATTTTTGCAGTTGGTTTGATGACAGACCACTGACTTCAGACGCCAAGTAAATGAAATGTCAGTTCCCTTAAATAATTCCATTGTTCTTATTAGTGAATCTATATTGCAAAACATTGTACTTAATTTTAATGAAAACATCTGTGGTGACTTTCTCTCCCTATGTAAATATCCGTAATTTTGTCTGAAAAGTTTGAGCCTTGGCTGATGGAAGTATCAGACCAGGAAGTACTTGTGGTTTTACTAAAGGTGTTGAACTGGCTGTGGCACCTGAATGATGGCTTCTGCTCAGGTATACCTACCTGCAGGCAGTTCTTAACTTGTCTCTGAGTTGTACATTTCCTGCATTGCAAGTTTTGTACAGCTTTGTTGTTAATACTGTTTTTTGTGTTACCAGTTATCTCTCATCTGCAGTAAAATGAGAGGCTGGGTGTTTTTACTTTTATAAAGTTTTATATTAAGCTGTACCTTTATCACTCACCTGTTCCTTTTAGCTTTGTTTCTGCTGTTCTTAAATTTGAAGTATATACACAAATTTATAATCATAAAGATACTTAAAATGTGTAAGTTCCATCATCATAACTTAGGCTTACTATGCGCATAGTATTGCAGTTGGAGCACTGAATAAAACAGTGTTTAATGCGTTGATGTTTAAGGCTCGTTGTGTTACCAGGCTAGTCATATAACTGGAAGATACTGGTTGGAAATAGGATTTTAAATGTCATGGGTTTTAAAAAATATTTTGTGCTGGAAGTTGGAAAGCATTTGGGGCTATAACTAGTTGATTAGCTTTTTAAAATTTTAAAATTTTTATTAGTACCTGTTTGCAGTACTTGAGGATTACATTTATTGGGAGTTGCTGTGTATACATCGCACAAATGACTAGCTTTTATACATAATCTTGTCTATTAAATAATATTTTTGTTTTGCCTATTTTCCAGAAAATGTCAGTTTACTATTCAAATTATACTGCTTGACAGTGATGACCCTGGTGGCTGCAGCTTATACCATATCTTTAAGATACACAAGGACAGCAGACAAAGAACTCTACTTTTCAACCACAGCCGTGTGTATCACAGAAGTTATAAAGTTATTGCTAAGTGTGGGACTTTTAGCTAAGTAAGTATAAATACTTTTAGTGTATTGTTATTTTTCCCTCTAAGGTATTTTATTAGAAAATTCAAGCTACATCTTTTACGTTTGATGGCTCTAGAGCAATGTTTCCTCACTAGGGATGATTTGCTCTAGGGAGACATTTTGGGTGGGGGCATGGTATGGCATCTAGTGAGTAGAGGCCCGAGGCTGCTAACCGTCCTGCAATGTCCAGTATGGCACTTAGCAGCAGTTCCATCAGCTCTGTTTGTCAGTAATGCTGGAGGTGAAAAGCCCAGCTCTCTAACAAGAGTTGTTAAACTGTAGCCCATGGCCAAATGCAGCTTGCTGCCTGTTTTGGTTGCTGTAGACACTGTATGGCTCACAAAGCCTGAAATGTTTACTATTTGACTTTTACAAAACATTCCTTTGCTGACCTGTTTTATAGGAATATACTAATAGACATTTCTTGGGTCCTGTGTTAAATACTAGTGCTTCTTATGAATTTTCTCATTTAATCTTTATGCAGTTTTGAGGTAAGTACTATAATTACTCCTGTTTTATCAATACAGCATGTGAGCTGCATCAAGATTACAGTATTAATATTTGGTAATGCTGGGCATCAAATCAGTAACATCATATAAGAATCATTTTAGCTAAAGATACTTTAAAAGAGGGGTAATCATAGGGACTATCAATGAGATAGATCTAATTTTATTTGTAGACTCAGTGGGATTATGGCTTGACACATTTCTTAACCTTTTAAAACTCCTGTTGAGAAATGACTTGGGTAGAGATTTATGAAATTGGGACCTAGGTGAGAATTCATGCTGGTTTCAATACATGTGTTGGTGAGAGTAGGGAAGTAGTATGGAATAGCATGAATATAGCTCTTAGGTGAAAATAGACAAATTACATTTAAAGATTTTGAAACTCATTTCACATGTATTTATTGAGTAGTGCCTATGTGACAGTTTTTATAGTGGATCTTGGTATATAGGTATGAGTGAAATATGGTCTCTATCTTCTTTGAAGCGATTTAATGGAAGAGACAGAAAATTAACCAGTAAATACACAGATGATTTCACATGGTCATGTGAAAAATGATGACTTGGGGAGAGAAAAGAACAGAAAAACAACTTGAGACTAGATGGTAGACGGCTTCAATATATTGGAACTTAAAATTTATGTTGTAAATAGAGCTATAGTGGCAGCCTAACTTGTCAGGTTAGTAAAACCAGATGTTTCATGTAACAAAACTCATTTTTCTGGAAGTTTGCCTTTTAATTATGAAGTTTTTCTCTCTGGATTATGTAGGATAAATGTGAGTCTTATTGTACCTTTGTAAGGCAATGTACCAAAGGCAAAAGTCTAAAACCAGAACAATGTTTAAAACTCCAGAACAACTTCCATAAACACTGAGTTAACAAATTAATATAATCTTAAGGTTTAGCTTCTTTTAAGAAGAACAAAGTTTACTGACTTTGAAAGGGACAAAAAATTATTAAGTCAGGAATTATATAGAACTGTTAGAGCATGATAGTAGCTATTCTAAATTGTAAGATCAAATCATGGTTCAGTTTGTTTTGCAACTGTGAAGAATTTGTGGAAATCACTATGAAAAAAACAAAACAAAAAGCACTGAAGCCTGTGATATAACTTAGCAGTTGGGCTAGTTATCCACCAACCTACCTGTGTAGACCTTTTCTTTTGATGATTTTCCAGTTTTGCATTGCTTCTTGTATAGGATTTCTTGCTTTTCCTCAGGTATTCAGTGTTACAGGTATAGTTAGTTGTTTTGTGGAAACTTTTTTGAAATTATGTCAAAATACAAACACAGAATTTTGAAAATTTACCAGGCTAGTCAAATGATGGTGCTGAAATAACAGCAGTGTGTAAAAGCAGTAGTTTCTGTGTCTGTCACCAGCATAACATAAAGGCCAGGATTTTGCACACAAAAGCTAGGAACAATCAGAAAAGGTTAAGAATTATGATATACAAAGTTTTGGTGGTTGGCATTTGACATTAAATAACAATTTGGTATGGAAAAGAACCATTTTTAAAAAATGAGTTTGTTATTACAAAAAGTACTGGAAAAATTTGGAAAGCATGAAAAAAGTGAAATCACTTTTTGGAGCTACTGAATTTTAGAGTGAATATTAATTTTTATGGAAGAGAATATCAGTGAAAACATTAACTTTTGGAGTAGTGAAAGAGTTAAAGAATTATGTCAACCTGTGAGGTCACAGATTGGTAGTGCAAAATGAAATGATGGGATAGGACTATAGCACCATGGCAGAGCACTTGCCTAGCACGTATGAGGTCCTAGGTTCAATTCCCCCGTGGTGCAGAGTGAAATGATGTAGGACACTGCTTTTTCAGCAAACTGTAATGAGACAATTAATAATGAAACTAAAGCACAAAAAAATTTGGGAAAGATATCTAGTGAAAATGCTGCAAATTGGCACTAGATCTTGAAAGGACAACTAGCTCTTAATAATTTACCTGAAGTAGTTGCAATATAAAAAGATGAATAAGATACATAATAAAACTGGTGACTAAGAATGAATTGGACATTAAAAATTGTTGCAAAGAATAGAACTTTTAGATTTAGTGATATAAAGTCTGCAAAAAGGTAAGATTTTCCAGATAGTCTCAGTGCTGTTATTTGTTATACACATGTCCAAAGCAGTAATTAAAAATAAAAGTGCAGAATGAGTATATAGTTTAATGGCACAGCAATTTTTAGTATGTGTGAGGCTGCAGGTTCAATCCCCACTCAAAAAAAAAGTGGGTCAAAGGCAACAAGATATATATAGTTCGTTATAAAACACAAGTTGGATGTCAGTGCTTTGCTGTGATAGACTTCTGGATATCAGGGAATATTTGTTACTCAAAAACTTTATGGGATGGTTTACACAAAAGAAACCAAAATTGGTTCATACTGTTGAATTTGTATTTATTTGGTAATTCTAATGTCAAAATACTTCTCTAGAAGTAAAACATGAAATTAGTTTTTTGTGTGTTCAAAGTAGAAGCAATATTGCATCATCTGAGAAAAGATGAAAGTTTCAGGATATTACCAGAGAAGAATTTTAGTAGAAATAACCAAAGCTCTAGAGCTACCATTTAAATGGAGAACTCATCTTTCCTTCAACCCACTCTTTACTGCATGATAAATCATATTAACCTTTCAGAGTTGATACAGATACTATGCAACAACTTCAGTTTATCCCCCCAATGCAAAGCTTAATCTCATTATAGACTATTGGTCTGGCTGATTGCTTATTTTAGTACAGTACAGTGATGCCCTTTGCTTAGTCATATGTTTAGTTTTGGCTGGTTGTTAAAGTAATTATGTTATGCAAGGTGGAGGATAGACTCATTGAGGTGGCACAAGAGATTCTTAGTATCTTATGATTAATTTTACTTATAGAGAAACATCACCGCTGTGCCCAAATAATCAGTGCTTCCACTCCCTCTGAACGTTTGAAGCATGTAGTCCTACTAAGGTAGGTTCAAGATATTATTAATAAGATATAATGGGGTAGCCAATTTCATTTATTCATTTAGCAAATATTTATCAAGCCCCAATTATGAGTTCCAACATTGTTCTAGATACGAGAAATATAGTTGCATATTAAAAAAGCAAATTTCTGCTCTCCTGGAGCTTATAGTCTATTGGAGAACCAAATGTTATGGTAAATTAGTAATAAATTGGTGGTGTTATGAAAGGGAAGTAGACGGTGCTGTACACAAGTACAGAGGAGAGCCTCCATTAGGACTGGAGAGTTTTCTCTCTGAGGAAGTTGCATTTAATCCTAGACCTAAAGATTGACTAGAAGTTAGGTAAGAAAAGAATAATTTTGAAATCCCTGAGGCGGAAAAAACTGCCACTTAGACATCAGTACTTCTGGAGTAAGGTATCAAGAGCCAAGTACTTTGGGAAGTCACTGGACAGTTTAAATCAGAGTCGAAAATGGCAAACTGTTTTGATTCCAGAGTCACTTTGATCCCTTTAAGGAGAATGGATTGGAAAGGTAAGAGTGCAGTGAAGTGTAAAAGTTGGAAGGAGGAAACCTTATTAGAAGCAAGAGATAATGGCCTAGGATGACAGCATAGGTAATGAAGAGAGTTAATGGATTTGAGTTATGCTCTGGAGGTATGAGCTATAGTACTTAATCATGTATTTGAATAAATAGTTCCCTTTCTTTAAAGGAATTTCATTCAATAAAGTCATCACTAGAATTTGAATAGGAACTATTGCTCCTAGGGGAAATACAAGGTGGGGTTCCTGTGAGTCTCTGGTCACATTTCTATCAACTGATTAGTGCATAACCTTGTTTTATGTGTTTCATTTTAAAGACACTTTATTTAATGGTATCCTTTGGATCTTAAATGTCCCCCAAAGGCTTATGTGCTAAAAGCTTGCTCCCGTTAGATGGAGGAAACTTTAAGAGGTGGGGCCTATCGGGTAGTCTTTTGGGGATTGTGAGACCTCAGTCTCCTTGTTTTTTCTTTTGATTCCTGACCTTGAGGTCAGGCATTTTGCTGCCTTGTGCAAAGAAATGGGAATAACTGATCATGGTCGAAAATCTCCAAAACTGTGAGCCAAAAATAAAATCTCTCTCATAAGCAGTTATGTCAGGCATTTTGTTACAGTAACAGAAAGCTGACACATTTAATATATATTTCTGATTAATCAGCATTGAACTCATGGTCAACAGCACTGTAATTTATGCCTGAATGAAGTTTACCTATCACATAATGTTATATCATAACCTTCTTAGAACACTAGCACTTTAACACTATACTTGGGGGCCATCTTAAACAGCAAAGTCACCAACAAAAAGCATTAGAAAGTAAAGAATGTGGACTTCTGGATTATTTTATTGTATAATTTATGTATCATTATTATTATTATTGTTATTTTTGAGACAAGGTCTCACTATGTAGTGCAGGCTGGCCCTGATCTCACTGTGCAGCCTTGGCTGGCCTCGCACTCACAGTGATCCTCTTGCCTCAGCCTCCCGAGTGCTGGGATTATAGGCATGTGCCATCACACCCAGCTCATTAATTGATGCTCAGAATGCCCCAGACTTAAACTGTGGAATCTCCAAACTTCCTTCTGTTTCTTTCTCACGTATTCTCATCAGTCTCTGAAGTTTCTTTTTAGCACAAATTGCTCTAGACTTATTTTGTGCTTTACCTGCCCAAACACTGAAGTCTTACGTTTTTTTCAAGGATTCTTTGTTCCTTTTATTTTTCATAATGATATTTAGAAATCAGGCACCACGTGTACACGTTGCTAACTACAGTATTCTTGCGTCTACACCCTGTCAGCAAATAGGAAATATATGCATATGTGCATATACCCTGTTACTTAGGTCTGTTTCTCCATGTTTACGTACACCATTGAGTTACTGGTATATATTGATGGATATCTACAGTTCGGATCCAACCTTCTTGAGAAGGACCTAACCTTCCCCTTACTCATTTGTTTCCTTCTTAGTACAACTTTGTGATTCATTTGAAATAACAGGTCTTTTTTTGTTTGTTCTTAATTTAGGATTCTTCCATTTTTGTTGATTTTACTTGTAATTTTTGGAATATGAAAATATACTTCAATCAGAAGTTATAACTGCAAAAAAAAAGTATGAAGAGGAATTAATGGACTTAACTACTTTGATAAATAAGGTTGAGGTGGTCTAACTGGTGAATTTTAGTTATGTGCAGGAGATTGCTGGGCACTGTGTAAAATACACGGTATTCCACTTTTTTTTTAATAAACATTTTATCTTCTTTTTTTAACACTTAAGTATTTCAAGGTAGTGTATTAGAAATCTGTCTTTCTAAAAATTCTACGGTATTCCCCTATGCAGACATAGCTGTGTGCCACTCTCTGGTGATGGACATCGGGGTTGCTTCCAGTCTTCTGCTACAAAACAGTATGTCGTATTGTTCTGTGCACACACTGTTGTGCGCCTGTGTGATCGTATCAGCTCACTTTTTCTTTGACTTTTCAGTTGAACAAGAAATGAGTGAATTCTTCTTTTCAAAAGGGGAGCAAATTAGAAGTGATGTTTCAAAAGTTCTATATGTGAATATGTAAAAAATACCTCACTATTAAGCTTTCAGTTTCTAAGCTATATTTTGAAATGTAAACGTTAAGAAAATTTTCTTAAAATTCACAGGAAAATGAAATAACACCTATTGACAATGCCGATTACAATTCACCATTGGTGGTAACAGGGAAAGGAAGTGGCAGCACTTTCCCGTTGCCTCAGAGCAGTCAGCTTTTTATTGTTTGCTGTTCACCACAGTAAGAGATTAAATGATTGGAGCAGGCTGTGTACATATTAATGTACATACACCTTGGGTGTGTTTTAGTAGTAAAACAAACATATTTGCTACCTTGAGCCACCTATGCTTATCAAGATAAGACAATTTTACTACTTTATAGCATCTACTACCTAATACAGCTCTCAAGTACATGTTACAGGCTTTCCAGCTGTGTTTCTCTCTCCTGCTGGATTTACATTTTTACTGAGCCTTTATACCCATGCTATAATGAGTTCTGGGTCTTGGGAGAAGGTCAAAATCATTTACCTCATCTGATGAGTATTTTTGTTCTCAAATTAACCTAATTATTGTTTTTTTATCTGGCTCCTGAAAGTCTTGTGTGTTAATTATAGTGAACTTTGCAGATAAAAACTTTGTAAACAGAATTTCACTTTGCTGATAATTTAGCTCTTGATTAACTTCTGTGTTCCATTTTGCACAGTGCCTTGGTAACCTAACCAAGGATTTTATGCTTCCTAGTGGTTCTCATCAGAATAGAAGCTGGAAGAATGAGGCCTACTTTTGGCCAAACATAGGTCAGAAAGAATTGGTTTCAGCCGGTTGATAGGAAATTTAGGCGGGAAGGCAGCAGCAGTAGAATCTCTGCAATCAGCGTGGAGCTTGAGGATTTCTTCAGGTAACCAAGGTTGCACACAGATTCTACGCCAATGATAAAAATCACACACACTGTTCAAATAGGAAAAAAGACTACATCTAAAAAGCGTTTTGATTATACATGATCTCTCTCATCTTACAAAATTATTTACATAAGTAATAAATTTGTTTTTAACAAAAGATGCTCATTAAGGTGCTTGATTTGACTCCTAAGAAAACAGTCAGGAAAATGGCCTTTAGTATTTATTATAGAATACTCAAGACTGTAGTAAACTTAGAATTAACCTTTTATTTTTGTCTTTGTATTGGAAAAAGGATAGTGTACTAGAATTTTCTGGAAAGTGTACTGTTCTTGTTATTTTTTAAAATAACTTTAGTGAGTAAAGTTAAATACAAGCTGTATTCTTAATAAGGTAATTAAGCAGGATGAACCTGACTACAGTAATAGTAATTTACTCCCTTTTAAACTTTATGAGGTAAGATTTCCATTTCTTCTTATGCCTCATAAATTTACTGCTTGTCTACTTTCTTTTTTTTTTTCTTTTTTTCTTTTTTTTTTTTTTTTTTTATCTTTTTTGAGGCAGGGTCTCACTGTGCAGTTCAGGCTACTATGCAGTTCAGGCTGGCCTTGAGCTCATTTTCTAGCTCAGGCTGGTCTCGAACTCTCAACAATCCTCCTACCTCAGCCTCCTGAGTGCTGGGATTACAGGCATGCGCCACCACACCCAGCTTGCTTGTCTACTTTCTGATTTTTTTTCTCTTAGCTTCTGTATTCATTTCAGTATCTTACAACTATATTATTGTAATTCTAAGGTACTACACTGAATTTGAGCTTTCCAGTGGTAATTCTTACACCTTGGCTTCTCTAATATCTACTTCAGAGAGAAACAGAAAAAGATACTTAAACCCTCCTGGCACTGAAAAAATAGCTTCTGAGCATCCAACAATAGGATCTGGCCAAAAGAGATGAAAACCCAAAGGTTACTCTCGGCATACCTTACTGTACTAGTTCGCCACACTGAAGGAACATTGAGTTCTGATTGGCTATTAATTTGTCTTAAGCAAAAGCTAAAGAAGTTGAAGAGTTAAGAAAAGTGAGAGAATGGACCACAGTTACCTTGGTTTTGGTGCAGGTGTGGTTATTCAAGTAGCAACTGCATCCTTAAGTAGCCCTTATTTTGAAGGTGAGCTGGCCAATTCTGTTTTTGTTTGGATAGCCAAGAAAGTCATTAATACCTATGAAGACTTATTAGTAAGGGGTGGAGACAAAATAGCATTGCTCGTAGCTGGGGCTTAGGGAAATGATAGTAGCCACTATGCCTTTGAGGGTTCAACTTGAAGCACCTTCTGTAGGAGATAAATGGATATGAGAGGAAGTAGAGTGTGAGGATTTGGCTAGTTCTGTAAATGGTACCTCTCAGTTCCGTTAGGGTGGCACTCGGAAGATAGATTAGTGTAGAAGTTTGCACTTTGGAAGGGCATTAAAAATAAGAGTAAAGTGGAAGTAGTAAGTAGTATTCTGTAGTATTCTGTACTTTATACAATCTGTAAGGTTTATGTGTTATGTGATACTAATTGTGATAATTACGGTAAATGTCCAGTTATGTCTTCTAGTATATCACCTTTTGAGATGGTTCCTTGGACTAGATCTTGGTGGTGGTTCTTTGTTTATTAATCTTTACTTTTATAAAAAAATGCTAAAATTTTTCTTTATACTTTGCTTAAGATGTCCCGAAAGTGTACAGTACATCTTGGGTTTCCATTAAGCAGCAGCTAAGGATGGTGTGTAGCTCAGTGGTAGAGTGGTGTAAAAGGCCCTGGGTTTTATCCCTGGGACCACAAACACAGCCTAGTATTTAAAGGCTAATCTTCCAACCTAGAAAACTGTTACATAGATTTCTCAGTAGTGTAAGCTTTTTGGTATCTTTTCCTCATCTGATAGTTTATAATGTACTGCCAGTCCGTGTACATGACGTTTACATACAGACTTAACATTATGGTGTGGTAGGTGTTGGATGTGGCAATAGAAGGAGATCTGTAACTAAGAAGGATGTCTTCTGTTTGGTGGCCTAGGCCAAATTTATACCTTTTTTTTCGAGACAGGGCCTCTTTATGTAGCGTAGACTGGCCTTGAACTCACGATGTTCCCAACTGTCCTGGAACTTACGGTGGTCCTCCTGCCTCATCCTCCTGAGTGCTGAGATTACAGGTGTGGGCCACCATGCCTGGCTAAATTTCTTGTCTTATTTTGAGTTGAGATTTAGAAACAATGAATACATGGGCACAGGTACTCAATTTGATATAATGGACTTTCACTCCCCCTCAGAACTTAATTTGTTTTTACAGTATTTAATTATAAAAATACTCAGTTTGAAACTGTTGATTCTAATGTTAACAACAATACAGAGGCTTCTTGTGATTATCATAAAATACAGCTACTTTACCAACGAAGATGATGGTTCGTGTAAGGGTATTGTGAGTTGTGTTTAGGACCAATCTGATACAGCACTGTTTTGGGAGATATTGATATTTATTGTAAAAGTTTTATTTTTATTTTCAGGAAATAAATGATTTATTGTGGGGGAACTGCAAGCCAGATTAGCCAGTCCTCCTGAGCAAAAATAATTCAGAATAGTTAAGAGCATGCATAATCAATATGAAGTCAGGTAATTAAATTTTTTTGTACCTTACAGATAGTTTACTTTTGTTGAGATTAATAAATTTTTTAGATTTTTCCATCGAATTATGCAGATTGGGCTTAAATTTTAAGACTGTGCTTATGTAAGTTAGATTAATTATCTACTATATTTTTTAAGCCTGAATTCATTTACAGATATTTACCTGAATCATTTGATTCCTAATTCATAAAACTTCATAACTAAGAACTAAGCCTTTTTCTTTTGCTTGTACTTTAAATATAATGTGGAAAAAATGTTTTAAAAGGTGGCTGTGAACCCTGACTAAAAAATAGAGTGAACTTGATACATTATGGTTAAAGTGGCAAAAGATTAATCTGTAACTGTTTCTTCATCTCATTACTTAATATACTCAAAAGCTTCTGAAGCTTTAACCAGAAGTGTAAGCCTAGTTAATGTCAGATTTTTCTAAATCTTAAATTTTTAAATGGAAATACATTGTTATGTTTCCTTAATCTAAAATTAGTTGGAAATTATTTTAGAAATTATGCCGAATTGCATCAGTGGACTTAACATGAACAAGATCGTTAACCTATGTGTGAAGGAATTCTGTTAAAAGAATGTTCTTTAATTTTCTACCGAATCACCTTCCCATTTCTCCCTTTTATTTTCAAAGAGAAACTGGTAGCCTGGGTAGATTGACGGCATCGTTAAGTGAAGATGTCTTGGGCAGCCCCCAGGAGCTGGTGAAGTTAAGTGTGCCGTCCTTAGTGTACGCTGTTCAGAACAACATGGCTTTCCTCGCGCTCAGCAATCTGGACGCGGCCGTGTACCAGGTGAGTGTAGCTAATGATAATGAAAAGTTCTGAGATCCTGAAACATTTTTGTTATAGAAAGATTTTTGCTAATTCTACCAATTATCAAATAATTTTCTCAGTATTAATGATTTCAGAAATATTAATCTATGTCAGAGACGAACATTAGCCAAGTTTATTAATTCTTTAATTGGTTGCTAGGTGACCTACCAATTGAAGATTCCCTGTACTGCTTTATGTACTGTTTTAATGTTAAACCGGACACTCAGCAAATTACAGTGGATCTCAGTGTTTATGCTGTGTGGAGGAGTCACACTTGTGCAATGGAAACCTGCCCAAGCTACAAAAGTCGTGGTAAGAAACGAAATACACAGCATAACGAACGTAGGAGCTTCTGTCTTACTTCAGTCTTGTACACACCAGTCACACTGGTGAATACAGTGTGATCACATTTCTTCGGTTTAAAGTAAGTCTACGTTTTAGAAAGGCTTTTTAAAAAAAGTTTTGCTATTAAGGATAGTAATACAGACTAGTTTTCTATTTCTTGAAGGAATATATTAAAATATAATACATTAGAGATAGTACCTTATACGTGTTTTCCATTCCCTTGTTTTACCAGCGATAAAACTAAAGTCCAGAGAGATGCGATGACTTGTGCAGAGAGGGTTAATCACTAATTTGTGACTAAAACTGTCAACTTCTCGGAAAATTTCTACACTTTTAAAAACATTTCAGAAACAATAGACAAGGTTTTCTTCATTTGATTTTCATTCTTTCCCCTAAACTTGATGACAGGAATGGTGTTCTGAATATTGATAATGACAGTAGGGCAGAAAAAGAAATGCCCTTAAAGTTTTCAAGAGCAAATATTCAGGTACATACCTCTTTTTAATACTCCATGTCACAATCACTTATTTCCCCAAAGAGAAGTAGGAAGTGGACCTCTGGTGAGCAGCCGTCTACAGGTCAGGGGGTTTTCTCTGCAATCAGATATGTACTCAACTGTTAGCAAACTGACCATATTTCTCTTATGAAGGGCAGTTGGGAATGGACAGAGCTTAAAAAATGGCAGGTCCGTTTCTTTTTAGTAGTTACTCCAGCTTGGTAGAGAAATGTCTGTTTTCAGAGGATGAAGTTTTAGATTAATACTTGCTGCCTTCAGATGCTGCAGAGGCAGTTCACATCCTTGATGACGTTTCAAAACATCAGATACGCACCGTTTAACTCAGTAGAACTTCAGAGAAATAATTTCTTTGGGAAGGCAAACATTTAAATGTTAAGTGTGAGCTTTAAGTAATGTTTTACTCTCAGCAAAACTGTTAGGTCCGCCTCAGACACCTTGTAAAAACTGTTAGCTGAAGTGGATTAAGGGCAGTTTATCCTACTTGGACCACTCAAGATTCTTTGTGTTTTAAGCAGAATGCAGATTCCTGTAACTACTTCTCGTTCTTCTTGTCAGAATGATTTAAACCCCTGCTAACTCCTATGATGATACTGTGAATGCTTGAAGGTAACATCATGCCCCGATTCTCCAGGTGCCCCTTCTCTCCCATTTACACAGCCCTGTTCTTTCCATGGTATGGTTTCTAGACAGAAACTGACCAGTCCCTGCCTCCAGCCCGAGACTTGTTTCTCTTCTAGGTGTTCATCTGTCCTTTTCCTCAGTATGTCTTAGAACTTCACACTGTCTGCAGATGTTTTAGTGTGAGATACAGCTTGATAATTCCCCTCCATGCCTGTTCTAAGTCAGAGTAAGGTTAGTTTTTTGGGGAGAGCAGGGTGTCCATTTCAGAATTGATTGCACACAACTGTATGTAGCTGCGTCACATGAAGTTTGTCTCAAATGTCTCAATAGCAGACTTAATTCTAAAGCCAAATGAGGATGTGTTTGTATATGGGCAGCTCATCCTGTTAGTTCTGTGTCAGTCCCTTGAGTTCTCACCTGTTCCTAACTTTCCTTTGAGTGGTATGCTTTCTAGAGTGGGCAAAGTCTTCAGTGAAAATTTCAGAACAGGACCAGAGTTGCTTAGTTCCATGCCTAACGTTGTCTTAGCTAGGTGGTTCTGGCTTGGATATCCCACAAGGTTGTAGTGAAGCCACTGTCCGGGGATGCAGTCAGCTATAAAGGCTTCACTAGGCCCTGAGGAAGTATTTCTGTGTGGGCTCATCATAACTCCTGACAAGTTAGCACTGGCTGCTTGTCTAGCTTGATTGGATCCTGTCAGCATTTTTTCTGTATGAGCATGCATTGTACTATTATCCTCACTACATTCTGTCTTATCTGTGAAGATACTGGGCAAATGTGTCAGATTTCTTGCCAAACATTGCTTTTTTTGAATTCCTCTAATCATTTCACTCCAAGAATCCTTTCAGTAAAGAAATCTGGTATGTTTCACTCTGAGGAAAACCATACTGTTTTACATTGGTGACCCTAAGTTCAAGTCATCTGTATTCTATTTTAAGTATGTGTATATTTAAAAATTACCATTTACAGGGAAAACAGAAACTAGAGATTTGGGTAATTTCGTTTACTTATCATCTAACAGTACATTATCTAGCTCAAGAAATATTTTGTCCCTGAATAGGCATACTTTAAAAAGCCTTCTTTAATGTTTTAAAGGTTTTTTTTTTTTTTTCCATCTAAGCCTTTGCTTATTATGAGTTTTTAATTCCTTACTATTTTAAAATTTCTGGTTATATTTCTCTTGATGGTCTGCAATTCAGTGAAGATGCCTTAGTCATGTTGATTTCTTTGTGTTCTTTTTAACTCTTTATCAAAACTTCATTCTTCAGGACGTCTTAATCCCTCTTGAACCACTTCCCACTAGTCATGGAATTCTAACTGGAAGTTTGTTCTCTGAATTGTGATTTATTCAAGATTGGGGCAATGTCCCTGAACTGTGCTGTTTGGCGGTTACTCAGGCTAAAATGACATGGTTGCTTTCTTGATCCAAAGTTTCCATCATGTCCATTTCATCACCTGTCAGTTTGTTACCACTCCAGAGAAGCAATTTCCATCACCGTTTCCTAACTGTGGAGATCAATAAAGCAAGTCAAGAATTTAGTAGACACTATTTAAAACAGGTTGCTGGGCTCATCCCTGGGATGGGGCCTGACAATTTCCATTTGTAATAAATTTCCAGGTGATGCTGCTGCAGCTGGTCCAGGGACCACACTTTGAGAACCACTGGTCTACAATGTCTTCTGTTTCTCCTTTTATCTTCATACAAACATTTTAGACCAAGCTTTCTCTCCCAGGTACTTACTCTCCTTACATTAGGCTTATTTATTTTGAACAAGGCATATTCTTCTTTGTAATACTGCAGTTGAGTCTCAGTCCTCTTAATTTCAGTAATATTGTTGAGACAGTATTTATCTCAAAGAAAAGTTAAGGAGAAGAAAATGAAGTTGGAACAGTCGGTTGGAACCTCATACACATGCATCTCTGGGCATGCCTCCCAGTATTATGTTTATATATTCTTGTCGACCTCTCCTATACATGAAACTAGAAAAGAAGCAGAGTTTTGTGAGTTGTGTATTGCCTTCTTAAGTATAATGCCATGATTCGGTACACAGAAGGTATACTGTAAATATCTGATGAAAATTCAGTTAAAAAGTCAGCCTTCCATACTGTAGGTGATAAAGAATAAATTGTTACCATTTTCATGACAACAGTATAAGGGATCAGAGTGGTGGCAGATACCAAAATTAAGCAGGCCAAATATGGAAAACTCTTTGCTAGAGTGCTTATTGGTATTAGAAAACAGGATTATCAGGGGCTGGGGATTTAGCTCAGCGGCAAAGCGCCTGCCTGGCAAGCGCAAGGTCGTGAGTTCGGTTCCCGGTACCGGAGAAAAACCAAAAAA